TAACAGCTTGGCAGCGGTGACCCACAGAAGAAAGGCGATGCCGAATGCTGTCTTGGAGGAATGTTTTGATACTATTGCTGAAGTGCTGTTTGCAGTTCTTGTAGTGTCTGAGGTGGCGGATTACGCTGGTGCATGCGTCGATCAAGAGTATCCCATAGATGTTCAACCGTTGACGTTGATGTAGGGAACGACGTGACGTTCAACTGGGTCTTCTGGTAAAGAGTCTGGCTTTCCATAGCAGTCCAGGGATTTGGATTGTTGTGGATGATGCGGCCGCGGTGTTTGAACGAAAATGTCTCAACCGGATGTGCCAATCCTGGGCGGCGGTGGTAACTCCTGGTCGACCTGACCTGGGTCTATCATTAACAACCCCCAGTATTTTTGTAATAGGTCCATAGGTTTGAGATGGTCTGTCTGGACACGCTGAAGTGCCTTGCCACATCATGCTGCGGTGTCCGTCCTTGTAAACGGCCAATGGCGTTGTGTCGTTGAATACTGTTCTAACCGTCGTGACGTACATGGAATACTGTTCTAATCGTCGTGACGTACATGGAATTCTGTTCTAACCGTCGTGACGTACATGGAATACTGTTCTAACCGTCGTGACGTACATGGAATACTGTTCTAACCGTCGTGACGTACATGGAATACTGTTCTAACCGTCGTGACGTACATGGAATACTGTTCTAACCGTCGTGACGTACATGGAATACTGTTCTAACCGTCGTGACGTACATGGAATACTGTTCTAACCGTCGTGACGTACATGGAATACTGTTCTTACCGTCGTGACGTACATGGAATACTGTTCTAACCGTCGTAAAGACCAACTGTTCACACTTGTTAAGCTGCTAAATATCACCCACAGTCACGGTTACAGAGAACAATAGCAGGTAGGCCCCTGCACACGTTACAACAGGAATCAAAACCACATTATGTTTCACAACACACACGCATTCAAAGCTAAATTCTACAACGTAACAAAGGTTGTCAAAGGTTCCTGGCCGCTGTACCTTTATAAGTTTAATGTGAGCCACACCAACCTTAAGAAGTAAATTGGTGACCTTCTATTCTCCAGAAAAGAACAATTAGCGTTCGCCTGCTGACTGGTTATTTCCTGCATGTTTCAGGAAATTATGGCTATGAAGGTAGCCTTATATTTGTATCATTCAGTTCAAACTTATTGTAATAAAAAAAATGTTATGCCCACGCACTGCACACAAGATGACCTTTATTCGCACCCTCTCTCTGGTTCGTTGCAACCGGGCGACAGATTAATGCATACTCGCGTGTTTCAGTGCATGTGTGCAATCTACATTATGTTGATATCAGGGCGTGGACTTACATAGAAGGCGTTCCCGATCTAGCTCAAGAACAACATATTGAGGAGCATCAAGCACTATAGGCTCCTTGTGACCAGGGTCTTTAAATGGAAATATACTTCAACAGTTAGTGGAATGTTGTATATTTGCCTTTCATTTTACATATTTATCCAAGTTTGCCGACGTTGATATTTGCATGTTACTGACAATGACATTTAAGGCTGCAAGGTGTTGGAAAAGCATGATAACTGAACCTGCCCTCACTGGTTGGGTAACGCGTCGATGTCAAGCCGCACCTTCTTGGGTGGAATGTGACCCGCTCAGGGAAGTTACTGTCAATTCATTCTGATTTATTCTCCTCTAGAGAGCTTTTATGAGCAGGCTTGGTTTTGTGAACTGATTTACAAATTACACATTTAAGTGATATATGCAACAAGGACCTAATTACTTGATAATGTTCGTGAATACAGGAATCACAGCATGTATCGCACATGCGTTACTGAACACCAGAATGTATTGACACAGGTAGAGATGGTTGCAGATATCGCCATGCACCCGGGAGGATTGGTTCGATGCACTGTATTTTATTATTGTTGTTATTTTATGCATTTATTAAACCCCGAGTAAAACGTATGCACTATATAATTGTATTCACGCCGGTAATAACGGACAGAACCATCAAAATAGACGATAGGTTATGGTGGCCACACAGAACCATCAAAATAGACGATAGGTTATGGTGGCCATACAGAACCATCAAAATAGACGATAGACGATAGGTTATGGTGGCCATACAGAACCATCAAAATAGACGATAGGTTATGGTGGCCATACAGAACCATCAAAATAGACGATAGGTTATGGTGGCCATACAGAACCATCAAAATAGACGATAGGTTATGGTGGCCATACAGAACCATCAAACGATATGGTGGAACCATCATACAGAACCATCAAAATAGACGATAGGTTACGATAGGATACGATAGGTTATGGTGGCCATAACAGATAGGTTATGGTGGCCATACAGAACCATCAAAATAGACGATAGGTTATGGTGGCCATACAGAACCATCAAAATAGACGATAGGTTATGGTGGCCACACAGAACCATCAAAATAGACGATAGGTTATGGTGGCCATACAGAACCATCAAAACAGACGATAGGTTATGGTGGCCACAGAGAACCATCAAAATAGACGATAGGTTATGGTGGCCACACAGAGCCATCAAAATAGACGATAGGTTATGGTGGCCATACAGAACCATCAAAATAGACGATAGGTTATGGTGGCCACACAGAGCCATCAAAATAGACGATAGGTTATGGTGGCCATACAGAACGATGAAGACGATGATGCCCTCTTGTTCTCATCCAGCTGGAACAATTCCTGTCATTTTATGATATTGACATCAAATATCCTTCTCATCCGTGCAGAAACCTGTAACAACTACATGTATTCATCTTGGTCTGGGCCATGGTTAAGGAAGGCATTTGCTCTGAAATCACTACGTGCAGTACTTATCGGGAGCAGCTTCCTTGAGAAACATGGACAAAAAGTATGACGTTTGACAACAGCCGGAAGCAGAAACAGCTTTCTTGTCTGTATATCTGGTTTCAACTAAAAGTATCTGCAACAGGATCTCCATTATTTTTGTTATGCATTCAGTGTGCTAATTAACTCAATGCATAGCACAGATACCATCATGGCTTGTGTTGAGATGTTGGAGAAATGCTTCATGGGAAGTGTCTCAATAGTTCTGCGTATTGCATAACACGAAACCAGGACAGATTCCTTATATTTACAAACTGGGTTCTGCTTAATCATCATTCAACAAACATTATCAGGCCACACGGTACACCGTCCAAATCAAGTGGATCACTTATTTTCTGCAAACTTGGATGAAACCGACTCATTAATATCCTTTGTTGAGAATTCCCATGTTAAGTAAGAGTCAATAGGATAGTGAGTTGGCTAGTCGCACCGATTCGTAATAAGGATACAATCTGTCCACCGGACAAACGGCATAAAACTATCCTCAGTACGATGGACATACTTTAAAAAGTACGTAGCATTCTTATCATAACAATGACAAACTTCATCTGATAATCGCATCTGACCCACACACCATGAGCAGCATCAGACATATGGGATCACAACTTGAACATCATGATGGATGCTGTCCAAACAGTTGCCAAAAATGAGCCGAAAGAGAGGCGGAATCTGTTGAATGTCTTTCAGAGTGGGTTGAGCTAGTGCGCAATGTTGTTATTGGTAGAATGTACGAACTGAAAAAGAGGAAACAGAATTCAAATAACCCCATTCTTTCCAAGCGAGCTGTCACCATAAGTATGGCTGCCCATATAGCTGTTCCCACTGACTAGGCCTCACATGATGTATTCATTTTATGCATCACTTCTCTATTTGTTTGATCAAAGAAATTGGTAAAGTGACATACAGTACAACCAGAAATTATTGAGAATTTAAAGATTGTAATTTTTGTATTGTTTTCACTCATTACTCACGTATTAAATGTGAATATAACTCTGCTAGCAAGTAAACAAAGGGGGATAACTCTTCACAAACTAATGGAAAAGGTTGAACGGAGTTGTCTCTCTTGAACGAAACCAAGCACTTGATAGCTGGTCAAGGCTGTTTATACTAGAAATCCAATTAAACGTGAACAGTGAGCGGTACACAGATATTCTCGAGGGACATTTACTTCCATCTGCTCACGTGTTCTATGGAAATGTTTGGATTTTCCAGCAGGACAACGACCCAAAACATCGTTCAAGCATTCACAGGCCTGGTTTCGGACCCAAAATATGACATTATTAGATTGGCCAAGCTATAGCCTGACCTAAATCCAATAGAAAATGTTTGGGGACTTATCTAAGGAAAGGACTTTCTAATTTCTTTGATCAGTAGTATGCCCCGCCGCATTGAAGCCTGCATTGCTGCCCATGACAAAATACTAACTGTTCACCTGTCTTTGAATCTGGAGTTATGTTCTGTTAATATTCACATTTGAGTGAAAAAAAAATTACAGTCTTAAATTCTCAATAATTTCTGGTTGTACTGTACAATCAAACATATCCTTTCAAGGAGCCTCATACGAATCGTGATTAAATATGGTTAAATCAAGGTGACAACTTTCAGGGCCTTGGAAAACTTTCCAAAAGTTATTTGATTGATATGTGAAGGGCACTTCCACATCTGACCCTCGTTGACAAAACGTGATGTCCGAATCAAGTCCCTTATTTGACTTGTAACAACGAAGTACACAGTATTTACGTCTTTGCCTTTATGAGACCTTTCCGTGTATTTTTCAGTTGAACGAATCATGTGTGTTTGTGACAGGTATCACAGGGTGGGCAGGATATCGTTCCCGAACACCTCTCTCTCTGTCTGTGTGTGTGTGTGTGTGTGTGTGTGTGTGTGTGTGTGTGTGTGTGTGTGTGTGTGTGTGTGTGTGTGTGTGTGTGTGTGTGTGTGTGTGTGTGTGTGTGTGTGTGTGTGTGTGTGTGTGTGTGTGTGTGTGTGTGACGCCACAGTCAACAATATTCCAGAGATATGATGAAGGGTGTGTTTCACTGCATACCCCAATCAAAATAGTCCTCACTACACCACCGGACATTCTCATCCAAAACAACAAATGAAACAATGTAAATAATCTAAAAATCGACATATTTTATTTGGACTCAAAATAAGCAGGATTGCAGTTATACTAATATGCATATTGGCTATGTTACACAATTTTACAGACTAATGTCTCATATAATCTGGCCTGTAGACATGTCCCACTGGTCGAGTGATCTACATCTGGCGTCGGCAACACTAGCTGTGTTAGAATAGTATTTACAACACATGTACACATCTCACTAATCTGAATGTAGAAAGACATAATGAAAGAACATGCACGTGTAAATAATCTGTAACCGTCGGGTTGAGTCTAAACAAGAACATTCAATTGTACAAATGTGGGTTTTACAATACGTCTTAATTTAACAAATATCCCTTGTTTCGCGATGAATACGCCCCCTTCGCTTTTGTGGGGGCACATCAATCTTGGTGTGGATTGACCTTCGTATTATATCTTAACTATTATCAAATGTACGCTGTTTTCTGGACATATGTACTAGGCAGGATCTCTGAATATCACAATCAAACACATTTATATTTCATTGATCTACGAAAGGTTTATTTCCGTCAGAGACATGAGCTATAAAAGCCTTTATGATTGTAAACATGAATGTTCATGAAGATCCGGGACCTGCCGGTCACCATCCGTCCTGCTTGGTGACAGTAGGCACACACATAGTACAGCTATTGATATAATCTAAGGTTATCACAGACTGGAAGCGGAAATCCTCATGAATATGCACTGCATCAAGTTCCAATACCTTCTGGCACCACATCCCGTATGGGTGGACCACCCTGTGGATACATTATCCAGGGACGGCACTTCATAGTGCCGTTGTAGTACCTAAAACCTAACACCGAGTACAACTGAAGAATGAGTACAACTAATGGTTGAGTACAACTACAAATCGAGTACAAGTTAACCTTGAGTACAACTTAACCTGAATCATACACTGAAGTCGACAGGAAATTCAGCCATACACGTGAAATTTCATTTTTGAAAATGGTAATAAAGCTTCTGCAAATGGTGACAAACAAAAAGTTAGTGTCAAAACGAAATGTGGCAAAAGCTCTTTTACTTTCATATATCTCATAAAATAGTTTTCATAATGTATGACAGCTCCTGATTGTGTGTATGTAGCAAGGTAGCACCCATTGAATATTTTCTACACATATACAAAATGCAGATAAATCCTCATCAATCTGCACAATCTACCGCTCAGTGCTTTGTTCCAGATAATAGTTCACACGTGTACTGCATTGTGCACTCTTTACAATTTCTCTGTATAATTTCACCCTTCATATTAGTTCATTTATCCTATTATTTTATATTAGCATATAATAACTTAATCATTTCATTTTGATTTTAGATTTACTTTAATGTTTACCTAACTTTTGATCATCAGTAGACTTTGCCCTGATTAAGATTGGCCTTACTTCGTCTTCATGCATTAACTCAGTTCTCACCCAAACAGTGTGGCCTGTGCATAGCTATATTATGGCACTTAGAAACATGTGTCGTCAGCGGGGAAAATCCATGCAAATTTAATAACATTAGCTCGTATGTACAAAATATTGGTCGAGAAACATAAATGCAATGATTACACTCATTTCACTGGGTACTTGATCTCAAAACACATAGCCGACAACGGAGGTCCTTCTACCGAGGAATACCAAACATGTCCCCTCCACGCCGAGTCAGCTGACACAACAGGTCCTTCTAAAGAGGATTACGAAACATATCCTCCTTCTACCGAGGACTACTAAACATGTCCCCTACATGCCGGGTCAGCTGACACAGCAGGTGTCCTTCTAGCGAGGACTACCAAACATGCCCTCCGTCTAGCGAGGACTACCAAACATGCCCTCCTTCTAGCGAGGACTACCAAACATGTCCTCCTTCTAGCGAGGACTACCAAACATGTCCCCTACACGCTGGGGCAGCTGACACCAGACCACAGATAAACACTTGTGTGGGAAATAACGTTCACTTCCAGAACGTTGTCTGAGAATGAATTTTATAGAAATCTATTTGAGTAAAGAAGTATTTATGAAGACCAGGCATGTTCAAGAGCACGATGTCCATAATGTCTTCATACTGTGTTGACGGAGCACGTATTTCAGGTTCCCTGGCCCGTCGTACAGAGCACCGAATGTGTCAATATAGCACTATAAAGTGTCACTATCACGCGCTCCATCGTCCCTATCCTTGCACTGTCAGTATATGATGGCAGCACGATGTAGTCAGTAGGTTTTCATGTCTCGTTGGAGCAGGAGAGACAGCACATCTTGGCGTAATATCCATACCTGCAAAGTCTTGCCTTCTTAACCAGCTGACACTGAGAGAAGGAATCCGTACAGGAACCTCCTGGAAGTTAAACAGGAAATTAAGTCTTGCTTAGAAGGAATGAGTTCTGGAATCTCATAATTAAGTGAGTGAGTGGGAGGTTTTACGCCACTTTCAGGAATATTCCAGCAATATCACAGGTGGGACAAGTGAAATAGTTTATAGGGAATCGAACCGGGTCTTCGGCGTGACGTCCAATGCTTTAACCAATAATCTACTCCACCGCCCACTGGAATCTCTCCAGAGATAAACAGGTAAATCAAGTCTGCCTAAGAAGGAACACACAAAGAACCTCCTGGACAATAAACAGGAAACCATTATCCTGTTTAGAAGGAATATGTACAGAAACATGAAAGTATTGCCTTATGCAGCTACACCAGTGTGAGACAGTATAACCTAACTTATTGATGATGTAGAGTTTGGCTAATGTGGATGTAAAAAGAGTGTCGGTAAACCGTTTATCTTGGTTTATATCGATTTTTGCGAATGTGTAGCATCAATGTTTACCAAATACAAAATGCACACTGTCTGTCAGAGTCGAGACATTTTTCTTGCTTGTACGCACTCAAGGTCACCTCACCTGACTTGCTGGTAGGTTTTGGTCTTGCTACACATGACTGGGTGTTGCAGGGCTCTCGTGTTCTGGGTTTCGCCCTTGGAGGGCATTCTGCACTGGGCTGCTGGTTGGGATCCAGACATTTGACCTCCCGTGTCCTGTAGCCAGTTCCACAGGACTTGGAACACTGCAAATAAAGGGCACAATGGACTGTAAAGATGGTATTTGATCAGAGAACTGCCCGAGGGAGGATCCATAAAATACTTCTTAAAATATGAACGCCACAAAGTCTAAAGCCACAGATTGATGACATCTTCAGGCAGTTGATCTGACTTTAAATGTCAAACACGGCAGTGATTAAAACGTGAACCTAGCTAATACGGTTCTGTGTAAATATACTCCGGTTATTGGTTTTCAGGAATACTAAAGACAGCAGGGTTAGTTTCACCGTTGTAAGGATTTGGAGGGTTGGGTGTCAGTCGTATGAGAAATCTTGGTGGCAATATGGCACTATGTATTCTGCACCAGTTCAGATCAGACAGGACTAACAAGATACAAGAATTGTACACGTATATATTTAAATCCACTATTTTGCAAAGCAAGGAATTGTAATCTATGCTACTGTTGAAGGTGAAATTTCAGAATGTCGCCAAGGTCACACAAGGACCTCGGCAGAACAGCCATGTTATGACTATTGAATTTTCATAAAGACGTTGCAGACTACTTCTGTAAGCAGATAAAATAGTTCTATAACGAGAAATCTCAGCACATTTTGCACACTAAAGCATAACGGTAATGGTCGTTTTCAATTACGTTTCCATTCAAACTTTGATGTGACGCATGCAAAAACTCAAACGGATTTACCGAGTTTTTTTATAGTCAGTCTCGAATCAATATGAAGAATGATTAGTTAGAATACAGAATTTGACGAGAACACATAAACGCCGTTGATATTTGTTTTGACAGGTCAGCGTGCCGGTAACTGCAACAGCTTTTATGGTGAGCCTGGCAGGGCAACTGATGGAACGGCGGTTTGGGTGGGATGGATGGCAATATTTAGCCGTGTAGACAAAGAGAGGTGTTTAATGCGTCTTGATCTACTCGACTTACGACAAACTAAGATCCCGGGGACGTATGCTGACTTCCAGTGTTTCTGGAATCACAGAACATCCGCGGGGGACCACTCACAACTTGTTTTCATTGTTTAATGGAAGAAGAATGTCTTGCGATGTAGGGGTGATCATCCTTTGTCCGGAAACCCGGGTTAGCAGGGGAAAACAACCCCCATGACTCAACCTGTCTCACAATGATAAGACTACAAGGCGCTGTAGGCCATGGTTGTGTCCCGGGTTCCACTGTACGCTTGTCGTGGGAGGAACCCAGTGTTGGCAAGCAAACCTTACCATTTGTGTCAACATCTTAAAAGAGGAAATCTGTAAGGGATTACTCCCCATCTGGACCACCTGATAGTCTTCTGGTGGACTGGGGAACTGAAGGGCTTAATTGACTTTCAAATTCCTGGTTTTGCTTCTGAACTGCAAAGATCACATGTTACGTCATGGTATTAAACTGAGCGGTGGGGTCAGTAGTCTCGGCAGGCTGGGGCAGATTTTCATTCAGGAACATTCATCCTTGACGGCTGGTTTAGTAGTATTCATATTGGCAGGCTGTTGACACATTACACGGCAGGTATTTACTGCTAAAGGTGGGCGACTCAGTGCAGTTTGTTCGGGGTCTTACCTGAGAACGGTTTTAAACACAAAATGTAACTGTTGATCTCAGAAGTTTTGAGAATGGAACAGTGTACGTGCTGCTTTTGTTCTCGGCTCCAGAAGGAGGAGCTCAAGGTGACAATTACCTCAGTATGGTCTAGTGGTCTAAAACGGAGACATTTGTTTAGTAGACGTACGCCTCTTGGTCATCCAATCCCACCAAAGAGGAACATAAGGACACCTAAGCCTACATAATATGTCTGAACTACTGTTACAGGGGCACCATAGCACTGTCTTCCTCTCAGCACGAACAAAGCGTCCCACGGGCTGGGGAGCCAGCCACCGAGTATCCAGTTTTTATGTTACGTCCACCAGGTCCCTCCTGAGAGACCCTCCGAGCTCTATTGGAATGGTATTGCTGAGGTGTTCCTTTACCACACTGAGATCCGAATGCCCATCGAGGCTAATCCACTCTTTTCTTACTCAGTGGTGACATTGCTGGAATATCGCAAACCAAATGTATTCTCAATACTGGGCAATCGTCACCTATAATGACCCTCATACTTTTGTCTACGTATATGTCTACTCATATTACGTCCAAGGGTAACATATTATTAATCGGCAATATTAAATATATACGACGGCGGTATATAGATAATCGGGTCTGAACCGGATTGTCAAGAAAATGAAATTCTGAGTATAGATGTACGCTATTTGGACACGACATGCATTAAACAAGTTAGAGAGCCTTACCACCCGACCCTATTCGTTTGCTCTTGATAAGAATGAGAAAATCTGGGCCCTTATTCTCGAAACGTTCGTAGTCTTGAGAATTCTTAACTTTGATCGTAGCCAATGTGTTAAGAATGGGCTTAAGAAGTTCGTAGGGCTACACACGTTTCGGGAATAGCTAGCCTGTCCCGGATCTTAACTAGACTGTCCATTTATGACAAGCATGAAAGGCTGAATAGATCATTTCTTGCTCGACGCCCAAAAAGGGGCAGATAACTGTATTCCTACCTCTGCCCATGACGTCATGTACCACTCGGGATGACATTCCGGTAACTGACATTCCTCCCCAGTTTCGGGTTTCTCCTTGCCCTTACAGTTATCTTCCGTGACCACCGCCAGAACGCCCCCTGGCAGGTTCTTCACGCACGCCACGTCACGTGATCTAACGGCATAACCACATGTTCCGTTACACTGAAAAGGGAAAAAATGTAACTTATTGTTCAAATAAAGAATAGAAGAATATACAAAAATGTAAGTGTTGCACTTTACTAAGTGTACTTGTATAGGTGAACATCTCCACTTGGGCCATGCTTTGCGACTAGAACAGTTCACTGTAGACATCTAAATAGTCAGAAGAATATTTGTACAACTAGCATATAATGCTTTTGTTCAATTGCGCTTTTAACTGTTTATTTGAGGATACATAAATAAGGAATAATTCATGAAACCACACGTGTCGAGTTCTCAGAAACTCGAGACAAGCTGATAACAGACCCTGGTGCCCCAAGAGTTACATAGTCGGTCTAGAGAGTTACACTGCTAATGGTAACATGGCCTATAGAGATAACTACATGGTATACACAGACATTGAGATACAGAGGTCGGAATAACAGGGTACACTTCTAAACATCAAATTGCAGTGTTTAAGAACTGGTGATGTAGACAATACCTTGGACCACTCCCCTACGAACCAGTTGCCCCCGCACGGCGTGGCTACTTTGCAGGTCTTCTCCACCCGGGGCTTGTCCAGCTGGTCACAGCGGTCCGGGTCCAGGGCCACGCCCTCCTCGCCTGCACACATCGTCTTTCTCTTCATAGTCCCCTCCCCACACGACACTGGACACTGCAACAACGACTACGTGTGAGAACACTCACTCCACGAACCTGGTGCATTAGCGTAACGACGGAAAGGATATTGCTCTATGGTGCTTGTTACCAGTATTACAATGATTCGACCTGCATATGGCGACAGGAAATCCAAAAATGACCTCCATGACATGTTCGCAATTTGAAACAAGGATGTTGTTACCTTCTGCCTACCAACAGTTGGGACCTTGTATCATTCCCTATACTACTACCACTGAAAACGATGTTAAGAATCCCTGGTAGAATTCACAGGTAATATCTAACATCTCTGTTGAAACAGGATCGCTGCTTGGTTTGCTATAACTAATATCTGATAGTGATTTAAGTGATAGTGAAAGTGAAGTCATGCAAGCCGGAAATAGCTAGATTAGTGTAGGAAATAATGTATTAAACAAATCTAAATATTGTAAATGTGGTTCAAGATAGTGTTTGGCATATGCTATTAACAGACACATATACATTGTAGACAAGTTTAAACAATACAATGACGCCATGGGTGTGTTCTAAATATCGTTAACCGAGTGTTACATCTCGTATTTCAGCTATTGGAGCAATGTAAACAGACCACAGCGCCTTATGTCTAGGCAGGTGACAACGGGTCCCAAAGGAACACAGGCTCCCCCTACCTCCTCCGGCCACACAGTGGAGTACCAGCCCCTGCCGCAACTTCCCATGTCACAGATTTCCTGATTGGCTGGTTTGAGCCCCGTGCAGAGTTGAGAGGTCACGACAGTTCCGGCTGCGTCAGTGCAGGTGATGACTCTCTGCTTCCTGCCCTGTCCACATCGACTCGAACACTGGTGATGACAACGACAACAGATAATGACAGCCAAAGAACATGATCATATCTAGAAGATTCTTCTGCTGCGGAGAAAGGAACACCGTGTGTTGACCCCAGCAGTTTCAGAAACCTGATTTTACACATTTACCAATATTCCAGCACTGCTGGCCTTCAGTGTGACGGGCGAACACTTTAACCACTCGGCCACCCCTGATTCCCTGAGGAAACATCTCTACCAAAACAACTAGTTGAAGGCCATAAACAATTGATTATTTGGTATTCTGAATGTTGTATATGAGGACAGTATGAGGTATTCTGTGAATGACAACTTGAACTGTATTTTGGGGGCTACTGATATATATATTTTATGGTTTAGTAGAGGAGATATGACTGTGTAATCTGTCACAGGATCATAAATTCCCAGCCGTTTGCCTCAACCGTGTGACCTACACGGTGATATAACGTGGTGCAGAATGAACAAATACTGAATGCAATATGACATGGCCTGGGTGGTAGGGATATTTTCTCAAATGTTCATATGTTGAGGCTGTGCCTTCTAGATGTCATCTGTATGAGAGGACACTAACCCGCGATCGCTTGTCCTTGGATTCGAGTTGCCATCATATTTGTATCCTTCAAGCCTGTCATAGCGTGTTACCTCTGCCCAAGTCGGAGACTTTTACGCCACTGTTTGTTTATATCGGCATGTCCTTGCAGTAAGGAGTTGTAAAATGCATATGTCGAGACGGTATAATAAACACGACCGTATTATTTCAACTATCCCAAACACACTTCAAGGCGCTCCTCCTAACAGCACATGTTATGTTAAGACATCTGGTTCTGTATATCACTGGTCTCCGTTTGACATGCATACATATTCAAAAATATATACATATGTTATAAACATATCATTGGAATGCCAAATAACGTGCATTATTTAACAAGGTTCCAAGGGTAAAAAATCAAAACTGTTAACGAGTTTATAAAAATCATTCATTATCCATTATACAGTGGTAATTTGATAAGGTTCAGCCGACATCATTCTTTGACGACTTTAAGCTTTGAAAGGAATTTCAATATACAAACAGCACGACAGTCGGACAAAAGGCATCTGTTAAAGAAAAGTGTTCCACAAACCCTATTATCAAGAGCTTAGTTGATGCCGCATTCCTGACGTACACGCAGAACGTGTTTTACGTTCGGCGACTGTTGGTGTTGATGTCGCACGTGATAACGAGGTGCAGTGGCAGAGTCGGCGTAGATGTGGAGATAATACTCGCAGATTCAATGACAACGTCCTATGACACAATGCAACATGGCTTCTACTCTTGTCCAAAGGAACAGTTATAAACGACTGCCAAAAAGGTATCGCATTTGTTATGTCAGGTTTTTGTCAAAGAAACAATCTAAGAATTATCTTCAACGTGTTTTTAAATCTCCTTGAAGGATGTGCCATTGTTTCTGTTTTCGCTGGGTGGTCGTCAAATAAACGCTTCCCTTTGCAACTTTAAACGTTCACGCTCTAAAAACAAAGCTTCTCAAAACGAAGTTCGTGTCGAAATGCGCCAATTGTCACACTGGTGAAACCCGTTAGCACGGGTTTATTGGTGTCAAAACTATCAGGGAACAGAGCTAGGTTATCTGTTTCGCTATGACGAATTGTTCAGCAGAATTCCGTTTTTATTCAAACCAGATACAATATCCAAGTCTTGAGAGCTACAACAGTGGGGGAATAAAATATATTTTTACAAATCCCAAATTTAAACCAGTTCAAATCAGTGAAGCAGAAATCACGATGACCTTTTGTTTGGCGATGTGTATTTGTTTCCGACTGGCTTCCACACGTACATAGAAAACACGCAGTTAATACATATCATAGCCTCTCTGTAAGACAATAAATTAAAACTGGAGTTCCAAATACCAATGCGATACTATTGCAAGAATGTGGAAACAAACCCGAAATAACGGTTTTCAGCGACATTGACATTTTTTAAAGGACATATTTGAAGTGTTCCCACGGATAAAGAAATTGCAGTGTTACATAACTGTAAATCACAGCTTGAGTAAACCTGACAGGGTTAACGTGTCGCAATCATTGGTAGACGAACTATTTTTTATGTTCACAACTTTTTGCCCCAGCTGTACCTCCCGACTGTGTGGACTCGGAGACCCTCAAAGAATGTCACTCACAGAGAACGCCACCTTGCCAAATATTCCATTCCGTCAACAAGAGACTTCCAGCTAATTACCTCACGCCAGCGAAACACACACATGGGTACACGATGAATGCCAAGGTTTGTCCTGCAGAACAGCCCTACATGCATTGTTATAAATACTGGTAACGGGGAACACTAAATTATGTAGCCCTCATTTATCTTCCTCGACATTACCATCGCTGACAGCAGATAAGTGTTTGCTATTTTGTGGATGTCTTGTTCCATAACACCTTCTTATTCCAACAGATCAACATCCTATTCCTGATAGGAGGAATCTCTGCTGTATGTATAGGAGTCATTATGTCCATGTAGGTAATCTGAAGCCTTCCCCCTGAAGGTATGCCTCACATCGACGCCGTACACCCACACACTGCTTACAGCGACAAACACAATGTGTTGGATAGTTTTGTAAAGTGGCCTTGTTCTTTCAGCAATGCAGCATCGAAAAGATAGGAAACAATCAAATACGAGAATTATTCCAGTTTTCAGAATTTCACACTTGTTTTTTATGGCCGTTTCATTTTGTCGACGAGCCTGAATATGTAAACGGTGTACTCTGGTACTCTGTGAAATGTGACACATTGTGCTGATTCATACACATGGATGATGGTGCTCCTCCCCGTCCCGAATACTCAGTACTCCCCTGGGGGCTGATACTGCTAGCATACTGATCCGTCCAGTCACATGACGTTTGTAGGTTGTGTGTGGAATCAGCGTGATAGACATGTTCACATTGCTCTGAATATTTGTCATCAACTGTTTAATACCTTACCTTACTCCAGTTGCCCGTAACCCACAGGTAGCATGGGGTGATTTCGCACGTCTGTGCAGTTGCTGGCCTCTCGGCGTTGCAGGAGCTGTCGGGCATAGTAAGGTTGAGGGTGACGGACACACGCGACTTGCAGGTCGCGGTTCGAGTCTGGGTCCCCGGGCCACAAGTGGTGGTGCAAGTGCTCCATGGTGACACCTCCCAGCTGCAAGACCAAGAGGAGATGAATGAGCTCTATCACCATGCCGGCTACACTGTTGGGGGTGACTACACCTGTTCAGTATGTCATCTCTGTTCACAAACCCGGACAATATGGATTGTTCTGTACCTTACATCGGTTCACATGCAAAATGAGGTTACAGCTTGTGGGGGTTACTTGCGTACGAGGTGATTTGGTCTCTGAGTACTACATTGGTGTCTGAGTTCTTATACTTGGTATGGCTGTGTGACGTATATCACACAACTTGACATGGATGTGTGACTTGTATCACACAACTTGATCTGGATGTGTGACTTATATCACACAACTAGATATGGATGTGTGACGTATATCACACAACTTGATATGGATGTGTGACTTATATCACACAACTTGATATGGATGTGTGACTTATATCACACAACTTGATATGGATGTGTGACTTATATCACACAACTTGATATGGATGTGTGACTTATATCACACAACTAGATATGGATGTGTGACTTATATCACACAACTTGATATGGATGTGTGACTTATATCACACAACTTACCACACACCCATCATCAAACCCTGGCCCATGTTAACACGTATCTTGGACATTAGAAGGTTAAACAAGAACTTTCTGCTTCCTCAGAAAAATATCACAGCACCTGTTAACTCCGGTAGAGTCAAGTGAGGCATCCAGAATGCTTCAGTGAGAAGTGTTACACGTTGAACATTTCAGTAATATCACAGCGTGGCCCCAGGGGATGCTGGTGTTAGACGTTTACTAATGTCTCCGATAATTGCACCAGATTAATACTCCCCAAGGGGAAGAACTGGACTATTTGTGCAAAGAAACAAAATCGTATTTCGGACAGTACAACCTGAGCCTGTGTTTTGATCTGCTGGATTAGGCGATGTGTCAGTCCACCAGATGATTGCGCACGACTCTCTCCCACACGCCGACAAGTGGCGTTCCCGGTAATGTTATTTCAAGGTAAAACGACCCCAGTTTAACACCAGCAAGAATGTAACGCACGAGTCCCGCTAGGTATAATTATGTGATCATGTTTGGTCCTCAAATTCCCTCCCCTATGCTACTGTTGGCCAGTCGGCAGTACAGAGACGCTCAGTGCGCCACAGTCTCAGTGTGCTCATGTACCTCCCCCATCAATCTTGGGCGGAAGGGGACTTCGAGCTGTCATCGCTCTGTGATGATATCGTTAAACCCGACAACACAGCCAACAGGGCAACATGTGTTGGCCTATGAAGCCAGTGTTATGTGTCTGTGTAAGTGAATGGGGTACAAGACACAGGTATCCCCAATAGGGCTAAATCAATACTCCCATCACATGTTTGTCTATGTGACAATCATCTTCGTACAAGGAGGACCCATTGTACACCACTGAATCCGCTTGTACTTTGTATCTGTTAACATAAAATCTCGAAGCAATAATCAATCATTTCGAGATTTTGTATTCGTCTAGTCACCAGTATATCAAATTGGGTAATGGTGGATATTTGAAATGTTAAGTCAGAGTTCGTTTCTACCTTGCTTCTGTTAACATGTAATCTTGAATCAAACATAACTCATTTCGATATTTTGTATTCATTGCAAAAGCTGTTTTAGTCGCTAGTTCATTCGTACTGGTTCTGGCGGATATTGAAATGTTAAGTCACAGTTCACTTGACAGACGCATAGCAAGCCAATTTTTTCGTGTCAGCCCGATAGGTTGCTAAGCTTTATAGTTAGATAGTATTGAGGGCTTGTCCAACCTTTTAGCAAGAATCATGTGTAGGCCCGGGCTTGTTTTTAAAACTGTTCATCATGTCTGCAGGCAGCCCACATACACCTCAAACAGCAACCACCATAACTGTCCGTCATGTCTGCAGGCAGCCCACATACACCTCAAACAGCAACCACCATAACCGCCCATCATGTATGCAGGCAGCCCACATACACCTCAAACAGCAACCACTATAACTGTACATCATGTCTGCAGGCAGTTCACATACACCTCAAACAGCAACCACTATAACTGTACATCATGTCTGCAGGCAGTTCACATACACCTCAAACAGCAACCACCATAACCGACCATCATGTCTGCAGGCAGCCCACATACACCTCAAACAGCAACCACTATAACTGTACATCATGTCTGCAGGCAGTTCACATACACCTCAAACAGCAACCACTATAACCGTCCATCATGTCTGCAGGCAGTTCACATACACCTCAAACAGCAACCACCATAACCGCCCATCATGTATGCAGGCAGCCCACATACACCTCAAACAGCAACCACTATAACTGTACATCATGTCTGCAGGCAGTTCACATACACCTCAAACAGCAACCACTATAACTGCCATCATGTCTGCAGGCAGCTCACATACACCTCAAACAGCAACCACCATAACCGACCATCATGTCTGCAGGCAGCCCACATACACCTCAAACAGCAACCACCATAACTGTACATCATGTCTGCAGGCAGCCCACATACACCTCACACAGCAACCACCATAACTGTCCATCATGTCTGCAGGCAGCCCACATACACTTCAAACAGCAACCACCATAACTGTCCATCATGTCTGCAGGCAGCTCACATACACCTCAAACAGCAACCACCATTACTGTCCATCATGTCTGCAGGCAGCTCACATACACATCAAACAGCAACCACCATAACTGTCCATCATGTCTGCAGGAAGCTCACATACACATCAAACAGCAACCACCATTACTGTCCATCATGTCTGCAGGCAGCTCACATACACATCAAACAGCAACCACCATAACTGTCCATCATGTCTGCAGGCAGCTCACATACAGATGAAACAGCATTGACGAAACGAAATTCAAACTTGTACCACTCAATCCGAAAACCACGAGTACAACATTCTACGGTAGATGGTCAATAGATAAGCAGCATAGTTGTGATCTCTAAGATACACATGAGCATATTGGAACAGAAGAACCATGAACTGAGGTGTCATCTACCATGTTGGTTCACGTTATGTTCATGTACGACGTGTTGGAATCCATCCGTGATGTCACATGTGCTCCTGTTCCTGTCAAAGGGAAATCGGGCTGCCAGTTGGTCTTATCCTGCCGAACATGGTCTGAGTTGTGGGCGGTCTTACCTCGCTGGACATGGTTTGAGTTGTGGGTGGTCTTACCTCGCTAGACATGGTCTGAGTTGTGGATGGTCTTACCTTGCTGGACATGGTCTGAGTTGTGGGTGGTCTTACCTTGCTGGACATGGTCTGAGTTGTGGGTGGTCTTACCTCGCTGGACATGGTCTGAGTTGTGGGTGGTCTTACCTTGCTGGACATGGTCTGGTGTTACAGGTGACTGCTGTCGGTGCTGGTTTGTGTAGTCTGGCACAGTTCTCATCAGTAACAACTGCCTGGTTCCTGGTGTTCACACACACGACAACAGTCTGCTGGACACCTGGGATATTCACAGAGGAAGAAGAGAAGGCGTTAAAATATAACGTAGCTTCAGTTCTACAGGGTAAAGTACATGTAAACACTATGTCATCTGCAACTAGTAATTTATTATGCACAAATTAATTATACACTATTAACCACTATCTCTCTATGAAAAGAGATTAATTAATAACTATTAACTGCGAGATCAACGTACATCATCGAAATATATTGCAGGCAATAAACATTGTAAGGTTGTATGACATGGTTCCTACTTGCCTGGACAGCCACTTTGATAGTGCTAGGTCCCTTAAAAGTCGATTGAGAGTGACACACTACAGAGTACATATGCTCACAATAACAATCTTACTTTGTAAGTTAAACATTGTCCATCTAACATAACAACATATCTTCATAAAGGAAGTAGCCACTCACCTCCACCGCAAGATGTGGTACAATCAGTGAAGCCAGACACTCTCCACACATTGGTGGCTTCTAAGATTTCATTTGACAGTCCACCATTCCGGGTCGGGTTCCCCAACCTCTTTTCATTCGGGATGATGTTTCTGGTGTAGGACTTCCCTGCCGTCAGGGCCTGGTTACCCCCGGGGTTGAGCGGTGGCAGGCCTGAGATTGGGTCCAATCCATTAGCATATTTGGTGAGTGGTTCCCCTGCCTGAGTAGCAGGTCCGCGACCTTCATATCGAGGCCTTGAATTGATGACGGGTTGTTGGGGGATCACCTGCTGACCAGTGGATACTCCTACTGGCTGCTGTGGGATAACAATCCTTCTGTCCGACCCTAGAGGATCTATAGCTCTGTCAAAGTGACCTAGAGGGAGGGTCTCGTCGACTATTGTCCTGTGGTCAACTGTCTGACGTCGAGGCGTTTGGTGTTGATTTGGTCTTGGAGGAGGATCTCTGGAGTTGATAGTTCTACCTGATGAATGGGCGACGCGTGCATTCAGTGAAGGCTGATGTCCGGGAGAAGGTCGTCGGCTGCTGGTTTGAGAACCATGGCCCTGATTGTCTTGTCCATGGACAGGTAGTTTCCCCTGGTTTCGACGATAGTTACGCCCGGATTGTTGATCTCGTTCGGAAGGCGAAGCGTTAACGTTGGCCTTCAAAGTGATGCTTGAACCAGCTCTCTGGTTCCCTTCGTCAACTCGACGCTCGGCAGTTTCTCGAAGTCGGAGGCCTTGGGTATTTCTGTCAACACTACCAAGTCTCCTCTGTGGAGGAGGTGTTGTGACAGATGCTGCCTGGCGATGATGATGTCGATGTCGCACATGGTGACTCCGTGGAGTCGTAGATTGTCCACGTATGTGTGACGTCTGTCTGATTCCGCCATGCTGACTACGTATCCTGGATGTGTCGTTTCCTTGAATGCTGGGCAGTGATGAACTGCTAGAGATGTGTCTGTTCACTGATGGAGAAATAGAAGATATTTCGCTTTTTTGTATTAGTTTCTGTCTTTGTCGAAGTAATCGCTTTTTCTGTGCTTCCCTGAGAATCTTAAATCTTTCTCGGAATGTAAAACTCTGAGAATATTTTGGAATTCTAACACTTCCTCGCCGCCCTGGTCTACCGAAAGGGCGACCTGCCCGCCGGATTGATGGCTGAACACTTGACCGGCCGAGTGATCTGCTGTAGGTGCGGAACCTGCTATCTCTTTGTGGTACATTCAAGGTACTTCGTTCAGTCGCTAAGGGAGTTGCTGTTGTAGTAAAATGTACACGTGTTGTCGGTGTGTTCGACGAATAGCCTCCAAGACTTGAGTCTATTTTTCTTGTTTCTGTCTCTGCCTTGTCAGTGTTCATTGCATTTGGTAACCTGTACCCATGGCTATTGTACACTGGTTTTCTTTCTCGGAATCCATCTCCCAACCCAAGAACTTCATCACCTCTGCTTTTGTCATAGGTCTCTTCTTTTTCTTCATCGGCCTCTTCTTCTTCATCATCATCATCATCGTCATCATCATCATCATCATCATCATCGTCACCCTCATCATCCAAATCATTAATCTCCTGGTCCTCCTCACCCTCTATCTCCACATTCCCACTGTCACCTGCCTCTCTGACCTTCATCTCTTCACCCAAAAAGCTCGGCTTTCTACTGACGTCGTCATTCCCGTCATTCTCTTGTCTTTCGTGCTGTCCATCACTGATATCTTCACCCTCATCACCTTCCTGGTCACCACCTTCATCCCTTACATCAGTCTTCTCCACCTGGTCTTCGCCCTGCTGCTTCAACACAGCTGCCCCGTCAACAACCTCCAGGCTGGTATCGCCGTCGTCCTCTCCTTTAGACCCGAGCTCCGACAACACAAACGTGGGACCTTTTTGACTCTGTGCCTCATGAACATTGGCACGTTCAGACCACGAGTCGACATTAGCTTTCAGAAGAACTGTAGCACCATTTCCTTCATGGAAAGTATATTCCTTTCGACCAAACGACCCTCTAATATTATCCTCCTTTATGTCAGGTCCCGCCATGACACCTTCTTCCAGGTCCTCATTAGGATGTCTATCAGGTCTCTCCACAAAATCTTCCCTGAACGGTTCTGATGCCTCCTCTTCCTCCTCTTCATCCTTATCCTTGCCAATGTTCAAGTGTACATCAGTTGGTCCTTCCAGTTCAAGATTCGCCAACTCTGGCTGGGCTGCAGTAGAACGACGTGTAGGAATGGCAGTGGTTGGTGCTTCTGTGGTGAGAACATGACTTTCATCACTACGAGAAATGAGATGTTTGAAGTATGCGTCCGTCACGTCAACAGGTACATTGAAGCTGTACGTGACTCCTGGGTTCGTCTGGTACACCAGCATCTGAGGAGGAAACAAGGGACTCACATTATCATCAAGTGACAGTTCACGACACTTCATTAATGAACACCAACAACATAGAGATTAACATACTGTATATCCAATGTGGAGCTAGGTTACCTTGAACCCAACGATCAAAATGAAGTTTCAGGTGTTTTTCACACTGTAAACGGCAATAGTCCCGGTGAGCAATTTACGAATTACCAAGTACTTAAACTACTCAGGGAGCCGTTCGCGGAAAGAATCATTACACGCGTTTAACAAGAAAATATTATTAGTTTGATATAAACTGATTTTGATTCATTCATATTTTCTTATCCATTGTTGATAGCTATAAACCCGATTTTATTTCCCTTTCCTCACCATGACTTCTACAGTCTGGTTTATTGGCCCAGCAGCGAAGATGCATTCTCCGGGACAGTCACGTGACTGCTTCTTGTATATGAAAGTAGTTCCGGCAGCGTCATAGTTCCCTGATGCTGACATTGTCCAATTACCGTTTACAACTGATTTTGAAGAAGTTTTTAAACCTGCAAAGAGATCGTGTGGATGCATGAATGAAAAGGACATGGATTACTCATATGACAAAACGTGTCTGAATAACATAGTCTTGTTATAGCGGACACACACTGGCACACAGGCCTAAACACAGGAAAATCAAACCAATGGGAACTTAGGAAATCAACAGACCACACGTAACAACTAGTGGCATCTTCGAACACAGGCAAATTGAACAGATCAAGATGGAAGGTCCTGAGTCATGGGCATGTGTATATAATTCTCTGTCCAATATCACCGGTGCATGCGTCACAAATACACGTGAGGTCAAGTCAAATAATGGGAGTAGCATAGACCCGGCACACACTCTGCCTTCAGCAGGTCGACCTGGTAGTACTGCATCATCTACTTACTGAGGTAATAAGTACTGCGTCAGAGCTCTAGGTCGACCTGGTAGTACTGCATCATCTACTTTCTGAGGTAATTAGTACTGGGTCGGAGCTCCAGGTCGCCCTGGGAGTACTGCATCATCCACTTACTGAGGTAATTAGAACTGGGTCGGAGCTCCAGGTCGCCCTGGTTATACAACATCATCTACTTACTGAGGTAATTAGTACTGGGGCGGAGCTCTGTGATGTTGACGCCGGTGCTGCCGACTGGGATGCTGATGATCCTGGTGTAGCCGTGAGGGAGGTCGGGCCGGGTGAACACACCAGAGATGGTTCTACAGGTGCTGTTGTCCCCGTGACAGACGCCGCACTTGTCCAGCGTCGCATTAGAACCCACTTTGTCATCACAGCCAACTTTCTACAGACAATATAAGGAACATTTGATTTAAAACATAACAATTCTAAGCGTGAATTCAAAGCAAACCAAATAAATTCGTAAAATATCAAAGGGAAATATAATGTCCAAAGAAGGTTTCGTGTTTCCACCTATTTCATAAAAAAAACCCAACCTTCTTGGGAGGACAAATTGAAAGAGCTATTCAGTATCATTATGTAAACATCAACTAGAGAATTGAGAGTCAGATGTCAGTGATTTTATTCACTAATTTTCTTATCGTAATCAAATCTTGGTCAGACAACCAGTCGTTCATATTATGATAGACTTCGCTCGCCGTTTGGGACGGATGACACAGGATGTCACCGAACCCGACTGCCCAATCTATTTACGTCATGTAGGACATGCAGACTTTATTGGCGACCAATTACAACCACAAAATGTACGCATAAGTCACCTGCGATCTACGCAGTCTGTTGAAGCGGTGGGTTTTGAAGGTATGAAATAGTCTGACCCCAGTGTTGGAGTGTATTACTTCGTACACCATTGTATAAACAGTTCGATATGTGAAGTAGTGAGAAGCTAACAGGTACGTACGATGCACTGGCGCCGAATGCAGACAGAAAATGTCTTCAGATCACATGGAGTGCCATCTCCAACCCGATTGGCTAGACGGGCGTAGAAATGTTGACCTTTAGCCCGACATGTCAGCTCACACTTGTTATTAGCTAAAATAAAATAAATTGGCCAGTTGAGGTTACCTTCAAGAGAAAGTTCTCGTCCAAGTTTTTCACAGTTTATAAAACATTACCGTAAACAGGTGAAAGATCTAGCGCTCCCTGCATACTCACGGTTAATGTACGGCTCCCATTCATATTTCTTCCCATTGAACACTCTTGCATTGAATTTACGGCACTGCTTCTGACGAACATTTTCAACGTTGGGTGGACATTTCTGGAAACAAATTATCCTAATTAGAACGAACATGTTCCAGTTTTTTTCAGGGAGAAAACATCGGGCCAATAAGAGACATATTGTGCATGTCAGTATATTGTTTTCACTGATAAACTTAAATTTACTGAACCTGTTGCTGAAGCTTGTTTGGTTCTGTACAACGGACTTTGCTAACAAGAAAAACTGCACTGTCGTAAAAAGAAGTCAGAACTTTTTCAAATGCTTTTCACCAGTTTGAGAAGCAGGTGACAATTGTAATACCTCTGCGCACATCGACTCAGGTTGTGAAGAAAGTCTGTGTTTTACTTACATGCTTGTTGCAGACGCGGATCTCCCTCCCGCCTCCTTCACACACAACACTGTCATCAGCCCGGATGCTGCAACAGAGCTACACCAACTACAGTATAGAACAGACAAACGAGAAGGGGTCACCCACGCCCTGTTTGCAACACAATGTATCAACTAACCCGGAAACCTGGTTCCTCTGCGGATGTATCACAAATAGTTGTCTATGTCCAGGCAGTTTCCCGTATATATTCCCATTTCGAACTCTGTTTTGGGAAATTATTAATAATTGAAATTTCGTGCCCTCAAACTTGCTTGTCGATAGGTGTGTCTATGGATGGAACTATATGGTGAATTTTGTGTTAGAGTTATAGAAGTGATGAAATAGAACAACATTACCATGCATACGTCTTCAACAGTGTAACTCCACATGAATCTAACCCAAGGAGGGACATGTTAAACATTGTGAAACAATGGACAATCTTTGATTTAGATAAGGTTTGTAATTTCAGACTACATTTCTTGGCGATACAAAGAGCTGTTATCTTTCCGTTCCCTTCGTCCTTAATGATACAATTCCTAGATATTTCAATTCAGACAGACAGAGTAAGTCCACTGAGATGTCTCAGTTTAACAAGGATACTCCTCCATTTCGACGCAGACTACTGACCCCTCGCCGACCACATGGCACCACCGTAACGCCGAGCATCAGGTCGGCTGACAGAGTACATGTCTACGTTCAGCATGTTGGTGTTAGGGGACCACCGTAACGCCCAGCATCAGGTCGGCTGACAGAGTACATGTCTACGTTCAGCATGTTGGTATTAGGGGACCACCGTAACGCCGAGCATCAGGTCGGCTGACAGAGTACATGTCTACGTTCAGCATGTTGGTATTACGGGACCACCGTAACGCCGAGCACCAGGTCGGCTGACAGAGTACATGTCTACGTTCAGCATGTTGGTATTACGGGACCACCGTAACGCCGAGCATCAGGTCGGCTGACAGAGTACATGTCTACGTTCAGCATGTTGGTATTACGGGACCACCGTAACGCCGAGCATCAGGTAGGCTGACAGAGTACATGTCTACGTTCAGCATGTGGGTATTAGGGGACCACCGTAACGCCGAGCATCAGGTAGGCTGACAGAGTACATGTCTACGTTCAGTATGTTGGTATTAGGGGACCACCGTAACGCCGAGCATCAGGTCGGCTGACAGAGTACATGTCTACGTTCAGCATGTGGGTATTAGGGGACCACCGTAACGCCGAGCATCAGGTAGGCTGACAGAGTACATGTCTACGTTCAGCATGTTGGTATTAGGGGACCACCGTAACGCCGAGCATCAGGTAGGCTGACAGAGTACATATGCGTTCAGCATGTGGGTATTAGGGGACCACCGTAACGCCGAGCATCAGGTAGGCTGACAGAGTACATGTCTACGTTCAGCATGTACGTTCAGCATGTTGGTATTAGGGGACCACCGTAACGCCGAGCATCAGGTCGGCTGACAGAGTACATGTCTACGTTCAGCATGTTGGTATTAGGGGACCACCGTAACGCCGAGCACCAGGTCGGCTGACAGAGTACATATGCGTTCAGCATGTTGGTATTAGGGGACCACCGTAACGCCGAGCATCAGGTCGGCTGACAGAGTACATGTATACGTACAGCATGTTGGTATTAGGGGACCACCGTAACGCCGAGCACCAGGTAAGCTGACGAGTACATACGTTCAGCATGTTGGTGTTAGGGGACTGGAATCTGCTTCAGATGGGAGCAAATAACCATAGTGCACTCAGACAATTATTCTTTTCTATATTACGATTTACACTAAATCAAACTCCTATTTCACATTAAGTGTCGCAAACAAAATACATTCAAACGAGTCCGGTAATTCTGCGCAGCTGCAATAACGCACTTCTGTATCGAGGTAAACATTGTCTGCTACCATATTTACGTTTGAAATCAGGACATTTCTATAAGGGACTGGCTTTTAATCACTAAAGGTAAGTAAATAACAGCAATTGACAGATAAATTGACAGTTTTATGAAAAATTCGTTTTCTTCAGACTTTTAAACCCTTTTCTTCATTATTCATAATTGGATTTAATATGAAACAATCTTCTTTGCATTGATGGAGTGATTTTTAAAAATAATTTGGCCCTAATACGCTTCCATACTTTGGATCTGCAACAGATTGTTATGCGCAACAGTTGCTGCGCAGAATTACCGGACAGCTAACGATGTCGTCAGAACGCCGGTAAGGTCAACCGTATGGCATAATGCAGAGCTAGAATCTTATAGTCGTCAATAAAACTTATATTTCTAGGTAAATATGGTGCATACCAGCATGTTAAGTCACGTAAACCACAAAACATAAGAGACGTTAGTTGCCGTGTTGCGATCGATGGGCTTAGCTGCGCGGAATTACCGGACGGCATTGTATGTTACGGGATGTATGTTATAAGCACTGTGTAAAACACATCATGTGCTGTGTAGCCTTGCTGCAAGACTGTATTTAATGAAGTCAGTTCTTTCTTTAAAGGGGCAAGGCTAGATAGAAAGGAACCAGTGGGATATAGGGACAACGTGTTCGTGGTATTTATATTTAAGGTTTACTGACTGACTGACTGAGTTTTGGTTTTACGCCGCTTTTAGCAATATTCCAGCAACATCACGGCGGGGGACACCAGAAATGGGCTTAACACATTGTACCCATGTGGGGATTCGAACCCGGGTCTTCGGCGTGACGAGCCAACGCTTTAACCATTAGGCTACCCCACCGCCCCTATTTAAGGTTTAAAATAAAGCGTATTTCCTTGGAGACGTGTGCAAGTCCATGGCCTTGTGTTAGACGTGTTCCGAAGGCCATCGAGTATTCTGGTGTTGAACTCTTATGTCTCTCTCTGACCAGGTCTGTTGTACATCGTCGACAGTTCACGACTGGCTTCATACAGACCCCCTTTGAAATGCTTATGAACTTCTTGAGATTCTTCAAAGGGACTTATCACTAAGAACGTCTTGTGCCATGACACGTAGAAGCAACTGTTTCCAGTTAAAGCTTGCGAGCATACCGTGTGATGTTATATACCACTACTAGTTCGCTATAGTCAACACGTTCAAAGTGGAAAACAGTCCTTTCATCATTGAGTAGCTTTGTGGTAGAATGAACGTTCATTAAATTCATTTCATCATAAAGCATCTGCTGCCAAGGAGTCAAGTTACCAGGCCTGGTCTGTGGCACCCCCATCTGCAGGTCTCTACTTCCGCTACTCCCCCCTCCCCGGCCCCTCTCTCCCCAAGCGTTGATTAGCAGCCTTCACAAATGGGATAAAAAGCAAAGAAATATTTAAGGAGTGGGAGTGATTGATATCTGCGTCTCAATGTCGAGGTCCGTGACTCACCCCCTAATTTCAAAGGTTAATTTAGCAAACTAGCTCCCCACGTGAACTAGTGTAAGCAACGCCAAGAGACTTGATCCACAGCACAGAAGAAGGCTATACCAATTAGTTCAAAAGAAACTGGCCAAGTGTCGAAGGTAATGCTTTTCTTGCATCCTTTACTACACAAAGAGAACCAAATGAAAATATAGCCATAAATCCCTGGACTACTTATCAGAAGTACCTGGTGATCAACTGTGGTTTCAGGATATGACAAGCATCCTCCATCAGTAGCAGGTCCATGTGTACATCGCCTCCCTCTGTATAGCGGACTAGGGCCAGCACCGTGCATCATATAACAATATGGTTCGAGGTGCAAGTGATCATAAGGACCGATGGGGTGGCCTTGTAGTCAACACACTGGCTCACCATGCCGTCGATCTGGGTTCAAATCCCTACAATTATGAAACCCGGTCGTCCTGGGGCCTGCCGTCAGATGTCAAAATATATTGAGAAAAGTGGCGTCGAAATAAATCATGTGAGGTTTAAGAGTCTGGCGAAACAATAAAGCGAAGATCGTTATTGTAATATTTACATAAAACATTTTTATTCCATATGGATGTTTTAAACTGCGCATTTAAAATGACAAGGTGTGCATTTATTTCTTGAGAGCACTAAAACAGGTGCAGCAGAACTGGTTTAATTTCTGTATGTAAATGTTTATAAATGGTGTGTCTTAAACATCAGTTGGCGAAAAAGAACAAGGAATTTGACAACGAGCCAATACCTCCTGTACAGGTTAAACCTAATATACCGAACGTGGCAGGGTAGGTGTAAATCGGTAGATAAATCCAACAAAAAGCACTGTTCAAACAACGATAACGCTAGTGTTTGGCCCTAATGTATATCTGACACACTGATATTATTTGTATTGAGTTTATCAAATTACGTGCATAAAATCCCGGTCAACGTGGATTTTCTCGGTCCCCTTCTTAATCGTTTAAATAAATATCTTAACTACCACTCATATCTGTTATATACTTTAAGCCTCGTCACACCGACAGCCGACCCTCACACACATACAGGAGGTAAGGTGGAGGTAAGGTGGACGGCGTTACGGCACCCAGAACGTATAAAGTGGCGAAATTCCAACTCCGCATCCTTCAAAAATGAGAAATGAATGTTGCTTTGCGCCGTGTTTAGAAGAATATAATCGGTATGCCGCTACATGAACCAAACAGGAACACTGCCGAAACCCGCCTGTCCCTCTCGGGATACTAGAGCACCTACATGGACCAAGCAGGAATCAGTCTGTCCCTCTCGGGATACTCCAGCACCTACATGGACCAAACAGGAATCAGTCTGTCCCTCTCGGGATATTACAGCACCTACATGGACCAAACAGGAATCAGTATGTCCCTCTCGGGATACTACAGCACCTACATCGACCAAACAGGAATCAGTCTGTCCCTCTCGGTATATTACAGCACCAACATGGACCAAACAGGAATCAGTCTGTCCCTCTCGTCACACACCAGCACCTACATGGACCAAACAGGAATCAGTCTGTCCCTCTCGGTATATTACAGCACCTACATCGACCAAACAGGAATCAGTCTGTCCCTCTCGGGATACTAGAGCACCTACATGGACCAAACAGGAATCAGTCTGTCCCTCTCGGGATATTACAGCACCAACATGGACCAAACAGGAATCAGTCTGTCCCTCTTGGGATATTACAGCACCTACATGGACCAAACAGGAATCAGTATGTCCCTCTCGGGATAATCAGTATGTCCCACAGCACCTACATGGACCAAACAGGAATCAGTATGTCCCTCTCGGGATACTACAGCACCTACATGGACCAAACAGGAATCAGTCTGTCCCTCTCGGGATACTACAGCACCTACATCGACCAAACAGGAATCAGTATGTCCCTCTCGGGATACTACAGCACCTACATGGACCAAACAGGAATCAGTCTGTCCCTCTTGGGATACTACAGCACCTACATCGACCAAACAGGAATCAGTATGTCCCTCTCGGGATACACAGCACCTACATGGACCAAACAGGAATCATCTGTCCCTCTCGGGATACTACAGCACCTACATGGACCAAACAGGAATCAGTCTGTCCCTCTTGGGATACTACAGCACCTACATGGACCAAACAGGAATCAGTATGTCCCTCTCGGGATACTACAGCACCTACATGGACCAAACAGGAATCAGTCTGTCCCTCTCGGGATATTACAGCACCCATGGACCAAACAGGAACATCGGGATATTACAGACCCAAACAGGAATCAGTATGTCCCTCTCGGGATATTACAGCACCAACATGGACCAAACAGGAATCAGTCTGTCCCTACTCGAATCAGTCTGGATACGGGATACAGCACCTACATGGACCAAACAGGAATCATCTGTCCCTCTCGGGATACTACAGCACCTACATGGACCAAACAGGAATCATCTGTCCCTCTCGGGATACTACAGCACCTACATGGACCAAACAGGAATCAGTATGTCCCTCTCGGGATACTACAGCACCTACATGGACCAAACAGGAATCCATCTGTCCCTCTCGGGATACTACAGCACCTACATGGACCAAACAGGAATCAGTCTGTCCCTCTCGGGATACTACAGCACCTACATGGACCAAACAGGAATCCATCTGTCCCTCTCGGGATACTACAGCACCTACATCGACCAAACAGGAATCAGTATGTCCCTCTCGGGATACTACATCACCTACATGGACCAAACAGGAATCCATCTGACCCTCTCGGGATACTACAGCACCTACATGGACCAAACAGGAATCAGTCTGTCCCTCTCGGGATACTCCAGCACCTACATGGACCAAACGGGAATCAGTCTGTCCCTCTCGGGATACTCAAGTCCCTACATGGACCAAACAGGAATCCATCTGTCCCTCTCGGGATACTACAGCACCTACATGGACCAAACAGGAATCCATCTGTCCCTCTCGGGATACTCCAGCACCTATATGGACCAAACAGGAATCAGTATGTCCCTCTCGGGATATTACAGCACCAACATAGACCTAACAGGAATCCATCTGTCCCTCTCGGGATACCACAGCACCTACATGGACCAAACAGGAATCCATCTGTCCCTCTCGGGATACCACAGCACCTACATGGACCAAACAGGAATCCATCTGTCCCTCTCGGGATACTACAGCACCTACATCGACCAAACAGGAATCAGTATGTCCCTCTAGGGATACCACAGCACCTACATGGACCAAACAGGAATCCATCTGTTCCTCTCGGGATACCACATCACCTACATAGACCAAACAGGAATCAGTCTGTCCCTCTCGGGATATTACAGAGTGTTAGCAACATCTATAAACCAGCACGTAATCTGACGTGCGACACCTGGTATCCACAATTGTCAAGTCGTTTAGTGCGTGTAATAGATGCTTTGCTTCCGGAGGTAAAACAGCTCCAGTGGCGCTGAACTGATATAGTACTTATCCACTACCTCCACTCTGGTAATGAGGATCTGGGAAAGCCCTACCGATGCATTTCCCCTGTGAGGTGTTCGGTAACTGTGCAAGATAAAACACGCTTAAATCCGCATCATGAACAGACCTAATGGTCCAATAAATGTTTTGTACTCTCTTGGCCTCGCTTGACAAACTATATAGTCTCAAAAATATGTGCTCGGTGCCATCACCAATGAAATAACGTACAAGTGAATCTGCGGCCTGACTTTGTAAGCCGTCGGTTCAGTGCCTTCACTCATTACTCATCAGGCAAACATTACACTCACACGTACACCTGGGATACAATATGACTAATGCTACCTGTGGGTGATACAGGGTTAATGACGATTTTCACAGGTAACGCAACTTGCCATCGAAGCAAACAGTTAACAAGGAGCCAGAGTGAGCCTGACCAAATGTCCAAGGTCCAAGAGGACAGACTGTATGTACAAATACCTAGCCAGTAATGTCTGGCTGTGATATTTTACGTTTTATTTCGTATTCCAACATCACTGGTGGACTTCTTTGAGTGGCATTTAGAAGTTGGTGTGATGAACAACGAGGAGAGTTGTATGGATATACAACTTGTATAATATTAATATGAGCGACGTTTCGGTGTGGCTACTAAGGCCGTTATCAAGCAAATGATCACTGGTTTTGTTTCAGTGTTGATGCCTGTATCTGTGCCGATCACTAAGTGTAAAGAAGGCAATCTGGCCTCTTGCTCATATTTAGTATTTCACGATTATTTTGAATTTCAAATTTTCGAAGATATAACGTTTTATATTCCTGTCCAATTTCTTATAAACTGTATATTACTTTGGCATAAACTTCGGACCAGTTAAATTTGAATTTCTGGCCTTAACATTATCAGTTTAGCTAGATATTGAGGACACGTTCACATGGCAGAGAATTTGGCCTTTAAACACCTTCAAAACTAATGGTATATGTAAGTTAAATAGGTGAACAAAAGTTCGTGTATTTCTTGAAAATTACTATTTTCCAGTTGGTGAGGACGAAACCAATACGCTTTCATACAAATATATTTAGTACCGGTAAAACGCGGCACATCCTATTCACCAATGGGATGCTGAAGGTGCTATATTATCCTATTGTCGGTCAATGCAATAGTGTACATCCGGTACTCGTTATCAGCTCCCTGGGGGCGTTAGTCACACAGCTGGTTCATCCTACCGGGTACCCATTTGCTGATGGGTCCATGATCGTCCATGTTCAGTGACATATCTGGTGGTATACTTACATCAGTGACATATGTGGAGGTATACTTAAATCACTGATATATGTGGATATACTTACATCAGTGATTTATGTGGATAATTACATCAGTGATATATGTGGATATACTTACATCAGTGATATATGTGGATATACTTACATCAGTGATGCGACGGGGAGGGTAAGCGGATGTTCACAACGCCGTGTCCGGGAGGAGATGCCTGTTCCACACTTGACTGAGCATGACGACCACACGCCCCATTCCCCCCACTGTCCGGCGATCTTATTGACATCCCGTGACTTCTGACCAGACAGGTAGGAAGGCTGCAACATACAAGGAGACATAAACATACTGAACATACGGTGCTACCTGTCTAACGAGGGGTAAATAAAATAGTAGCACAATCAGAGGATTATAGTCCTACACCGATAAGGGCATTTAATCATCTCAGTTCCATCCTCGTGACTCAAGGGAATGAGTTCTTGTACCGATCCTATCGAGGGCTGAGATGGGTATTAACCTTCTAATATGCACATATGTTAAAACGCTTGTTGATATCGATATTTTGTTGTATCATATCAGATCATTGCATGTTGTTTTCAATCTAAGACAACTCCTTGCTGTCCAGATCCTTAACGTCCGATGTCGTCGACAACAGAGATCAATGAGGTGTTGGTTCTGTCACTGTCAGCTTCCTCTGTTACTTGTGGCAGGACATTGATGACTACTTACTGCTACTGTCCTTGAATCCCGACATGTGAGCAGGCAGCTCAGCTTCAGTGTGATAGATTGCTAAATTCAGTGTGATAGATTGGAACTCAACAATGATAATCAACAAGCCAACCACGATGTCATCACGCATGTGCCTGTTGGAACTCAACAAGCCAACCACGATGTCATCGCGCATGTGTCTGTTGGAACTCAACAAGCCAACCACGATGTCATCACGCATGTGTCTGTTGGAACTCAACAAGCCAACCACGATGTCATCACGCATGTGTCTGTTGGAACTCAACAAGCCAACCACAACCACGATGTCAATCAACCACGATGTCATCACGTGTCTGTTGGAACTCAACAAGCCAACCACGATGTCATCACGCATGTGTCTGTTGGAACTCAACAAGCCAACCACGATGTCATCACGCATGTGTCTGTTGGAACTCAACAAGCCAACCACGATGTCATCACGCATGTGTCTGTTGGAACTCAACAAGCCAACCACGATGTCATCTGTTGGAACTCAACAAGCCAACCACGATGTCATCACGCATGTGTCTGTTGGAACTCAACAAGCCAACCACGATGTCATCACGCATGTGTCTGTTGGAACTCAACAAGCCAACCACGATGTCATCACGCATGTGTCTGTTGGAACTCAACAAGCCAACCACGATGTCATCACGCATGTGTCTGTTGGAACTCAGGCAACCACGAAAGCATGTTTTGCATCAAGCCAACCACGATGTCATCACGCATGTCCAATCAAAATGCCGATTTCATCACCATCACTCAACAAGCCAACACGACATCACGCATGTGTCTGTTGGAACTCAACAAGCCAACCACGATGTCATCACGCATGTGTCTGTTGGAACTCAACAAGCCAACCACGATGTCATCACGCATGTGTCTGTTGGAACTCAACAAGCCAACCACATGTCATCAAGCCAACCACGTATGTCATCACGCATATGTCTGTTGGAACTCAGGCAGCAAAAGTTTTGCATCTGGTTTCAGAATCCAATAAAATGCCTTTCATCCCATCACAACCTGACAGACTATGACTGTGGAGCTGTCTGTATCTCCAGCTTCCCTACCGGGGTGCTGCTGTGGCAGGTATAACACTACTGACTGCCAAGATGCGATCACTCACTGTCACAGGAGACAGATGTCATGCAACGGTTACCTGGTTACCAACATGGCAGATTTACTGAAGTCTTTAGTGTAGCCCATTGGCAGCCTTGAAGTATGTCTTCTGCCAGCCCAGTGAAGGATTAGTCAACTGTTGTCATCCATCAGCCATCTTGTGGAGACATGCAGTTAGTGAAACCTTCCTGTGGCAAGCCGTTCTTGCAAGCCCCAGTCACCAGTATTCCAGCAGTATCACGGCGCCTAGCAAATCCCCGAGGCTGTTCGGTGATTGATATAATGAACATGTGCTAAGGTCAGGATGACACGCACTTCACAAAGTCATCCAGCCTGATCCCCGATCACGTTAGTCACCTTCACCGACAAACAACAGAGCGTTAGAGAGCTAGTTTAACCCGGGTCGCCGCTAAATTAGTTTCTCTGAAATTATCGCGACCGACTCGCGTGACACATCGAGTGAAACCAGGTAGCCATTTAACATGGCCACCAAATCCACATATATGGTGCTCCTAAAAACGGCCATGTTCAACCCCTCAATACACAATCTATCCTCGTGTCAGTATCAGTCAACAAACCAACAAACCAACCAGTCATTCAATCAGTCAGTCAGTCAGTCAGTCAGTATATTCATCATCTGGATGACGCCAAAGGTCTATAGCACATTCGACACTGACGTATATTTGGATATTTTGCCCTTAAATCATTATACACTGGCCCTTTACATAAAGAGTAATATGCTCAATTTCACAAACATATTATTTTCTTATAGAGGATGGTCACGACGTGACACCGAATCCTACTAAATGCATTTTTGAAGTCTCCAACAGTTGTAAAATACCGCATCAGATAAAAAATGGAGTAGCTTAGCATGGAATTCAGATATTGAACGAGGGATCATGGCTGGACTGTTTAAACTGATAACATGGCCAAACCACTAAGAACGAGGATGACTGTCATCAGTTGTCCTTGCTTTAACAGTTGCTGAGAACATCGCGCACCATGGGAAGAAGCCGCGTTGTTGGTTACATCTCTTCAAGCTGAACCACATGAAGAGCAATTAACCTTGTTATTGACTTAATAATTACAAGGCCATGCGTCCGTATACCCCACGTACCGTAACATATTCATAGACAACGGAACAAATTTAGTTGGATTTCCATCAATTGTCACCCTGAGACAGGATTCTGTTTCTTCCGACGGCCTGTCACGTGCCTTCTGTGATAAGGAAATTACTTGTACATGTTCATAATGTACTAATGAAAGGATACACATTCCATACTGGGATGTATAGAGGTGAGTCAGGGCAGGGGATAATCCCCCCGATTCTGTGCGTATCTCCATGTAATGATATACAAACAGCCTAATACACACTAGCCGGGGGTCGCATGGTGTTGACTGTCCTCGCTAAGCCTTGCTAAGTAGAATAAGAAGAGAATGAACCTTCCGCTGCTAGGGCTCTCTGGACACTGTATACCTGGCTAGTTTGTTGGGAGGAAAATTAGAGTGGAGTAATAGCGTTGTAACGTCACCTGGGATACACAGCCATTGGGTGAATGTGAAATATGGACTCGTGTGTGTAGATACGGATCAGGGAATATATAGATATGGATTATGTGGTTCCGGGCGTCAGCCTGGCTGGAGGAGAAGCAAGACAACTTATGTGAAGTGAAATGAGATCTACTTGGCAATGAACAAGTTGTAAAATTAAGCAAAATGCCAACACGGGAATGCAAATGACCAATGTGTATTTCTGTTATCTGTGTAATAACTCAGAAAAAAACACAGATAATATTAAAGGAGCGTGCACGCAAACTCCTGAACCACCTGTTTAACACTACCAAGTAAACACAGTACCAGTTCTCCTACGTGAAGTGATCATCGCGTAACGTTAACAGCGTAACGTAAATAATGTTTTCCTGCGGACTGTTTTACACTAAAACGACTGTATTTGACCTTTAAAGGAGCATCTACTGATACAAATTCATTCAGAATAGCACAGCTTATTTACATAACGTCTCCGAGTACTGACGACAAGAAGCCAGTCCATTCCTCCCGAGTTGAGAAGACCCACTGTAAATCTGAGGACTGCGGAAGGCGTTTATTTATGCCAGCACTGAATAAATATATCCCTTGATGTTATTCATCCACATATTACTTTTTGTCCTAAACATTGTGGTTTCCTGGGATTCCGATAGCTCCTGACATGGTAAACAGGTTCTTAGAGGCAGTAACCACCCCCCTCCCCTACTTCCACACACCATCACATAACACTGTCGTTGTTTAAATATCTCTGGAAGCAGCTGGTAGGGGGTGTTTGACAACAATACAGCCGTGAGGGAACGAGGCCGCTCCAGATGCAGTATACAGGACGTTCACCTCGCAGTCTGGTGAAGTAAACAATGCGGGAGTTGAGAAGCGTGGGGATTTCAACTTCCCCAACTAAAACTTTCCGAGTTTTAAGAAGCTGCCAACATCACAGATGAGTCGGTATGTGGAGAACGTGAATATGATGTATGGTCAAGTTGTCATGGATGTTGGTGGAGCCGATAAATATATAGTGTTGATATAGTGTTGCTCATCCCAGCAGTCAGAAACTCTGGCGTTAAAGTCAAATTGGTTTGTTATCTTTTCAAGCTTTTGGGTTTCCCTTCACTGAAACAGATAATAATTGTGTACCCGAGGAAGAAATTTGAGGGCATTGAGAACACACGGAAAAGTTCCAAATTGCCCAATAAACTGTAGCGGAGTATATGGCAGGTTGGAGGTGCCCTCTGCAGTTACAGTCGGTAACGTCATGGTGGCAGGGGCTTCGGCATCCCTCTAAACAGCAACATTTGTTCTTGTATCTTGCAGAATGGCTTGAGCGTTCTTGGGTTTATTGCAGAACATAGCATGTGGTACATTTACCCGCGACCTATTCTACTCCGGGTTCCTGATAATTGGTTTTATTTAACGTACTAAAATGGCGTTATCTTCCATCGCCACCTGTATAGACTGGGAGAAGTATTGAAATAACTATGTATGTGAACTATTACCAAGTATCACTCGTTTCCATTTAAACATCTAAATTGGTGTTTTGTGCTTTACAAACAACACAGAGACAACAAGACCACCCTGTGACCCTAACAAGGGGTTTGTGCTGACAAATAAATGGGCAAAATATGCACGAATATCGGATTCGAACCCAGGATCTGTCGATTTACAACACATAATGCTTATAGGGCTTCAGAAGATCTAGATCCAACGATCTTCTAAATAGTCAGGTTGATAGATCACTTGAAGAATGAAGTCAATAGATCACCTGATGAGTCAGGTCAATAGATAATTGGAAAAGTGAGGTCAATAGATCACCTGAAAAGTGAGGTCAATAAATCACATGAAGAGTCAGGTCAATAGATCACCTGAAAAGTGAGGTCAATAAATCACATGAAGAGTCAGGTCAATAGATCAA